CAAGAGTGGGGGACCCCAAGGGGAGGGGACAGGACACCGGAACCCGGGGAGGGACCCTCCTACACGCCCGCTCCCTCCCCCCTATGGGGGAGTCCCTTTTGGATCCCTTAGAAGACGGGGATGTAAGATAAGATCCATCCTTCCCGAAGGCGGGAGCCCTGCCTCTACCATGGTAGAGGGCTCTCGTAGAGAGGGCGTGTAAGCTAAGCTAAGCTAGGATAGATTAGGATAGGATAGGATATAAGGGTGGTGGGTGTCAGGGACATCCTACACTCTCGTAGAGAGTACCTACGGAACCCCAAGGGGAGGGGACAGGACGGGTCCCCGGAGCCCGGGGAGGGACCCTCCACCATCTACAATACTGCCCTCTACCATCTTACGTGGTGGAGTGCAAAGCTTGCTCCCACGGTAGCCCTCCTACATGTAAGATCCTTTGGATCCCTTAGAACACAGGGAAGCCTGTACGCTACGATCCTCGTAGCCATGACTACCATCCTATCGCTTTTTCAGAGACTTAGATTTATCCCCACCTTTTTTGTTTTTTTTCTCTTATAGATTGCTCGTTTTTTCGTAAAAATAAACTCCCCTAATTTTAACCCCACCTTATCTTCATCTATCTTTATTCCTCTATAAATTTGCCCATTGTATACAGAAATTTTATGTCCTATATACTCCGGAAAAATCATTGAATTACTACTACCTACCAGATCGACTACGACACCCCGCAGGGGTGCGCTGTCCCTCTTATGAGATGAGCTCAGGGACTCTGATGTCTTAACTTTATTCTCTTTACCTTTCGTTCTTATTCTTTGGTTATCTATCGTCCTTATAGATTCATACAGTTTATAATCTAAAAAAGGTATTTTTCAAATCGATCTTGCCATTTCAGAGAGACCGGAATTGAACCGATAACCTTTCCCTCCCAAAGGGAATATTCTACCGGATTGAACTACACTCTGTTTCACCATCTTACATCCCTGCTTTCGGATGGTGGAGGGACCCTCCTAAAGGCATCTTCGATACCTACGGGATAATGTAATAGCATAGTTATAGAATGCGTAGCGAGCGAAGGAGGGCATAGCCATAAGAAAATGAAAGTCTTGGAATGAATTTAGTGCTCAATAGCTGAGCTGAATAAAAAAGATGAGACAGTCCCGGCTTCCTGCGTAGCAGGGAAAGTATGATTTCCCCGTAGGGGGGATCATACCCCTTCGGGGATATGATAGCATGGCAGACTAGTGGAGGTGTAGTATATACTATCTATAGATTGGGGGTAAGGTGTAGGGGGTGATATAGGTATATGCTAGGAGTATCAGATAAGGTAGAGAGAAAACTAGGGATGTTTAATGGAAGGATAGTGATGACCATGTATGATGGACAGATATCTGGGGTATCCAGATAGAGTTACAGCTACAATAGGGTATGTGACTACCTGAGATAGGGATAGGGGAGTCTATTATAGGGGAGTGTATAGCCTACTATAGGGGGACACAGATATACATAATCACAGAGGTGTATGGAGACCTATGACCAGGGTAGCGATAGTCGTGTGGGAGGTGAC